ATAAAACAGAAAAAACAAAATGAAAATATTTTAAATTATTATGTTGTTCTTTGAAACCTGTATTTATTCTAAGGAGAATTTTCTACATCGAAATATAAATATTTTAGGTATGTAAGAATAGTTTTGAAAAGATTTGCAGTCTTATTATTATTACTATTACTATCAAATATCTAAAGTAAATAAGTTCTATTCATCTATTCATTTCATTTTAAATTTCATATTTGTTATTGCATACTCTTTATAAGAATGAATAATAATTTTAGAATTAAATATAACAATAATGGAGACATAACATAACCAATATGAAGTTCATAGTAATATAATTTAGTTTTGTGTAATGTAAGGTTATATATGATTTTAACAATTTGGAAATGCATCAAATTTCTGGGTGGGTTCATTTGTCTAAAAAATGTGTAAATCAAATAATATGTTTAAAAACTTTTAAAAATTTCTGATTGTTTAATCTTTGTCTCTGTTTACTTTAAATATTAATTTATATATATTAATCATTATATAATTTATTATTGATAAAAAGTTGCATGAGTTATTAAAAGAATTTAGTACAAAATTTTTGCATCCATTTTGTAGCAAGTTTTGTGCAATAAAATATTTTTCAAATTAAGTTCATATATATATATTGTGTATGTTAGTCACAAATTTTTAAATATTGTTTGCATTCCATTGGTTAGATACATAACTTCTAGAATATAATATAATCCTTGCTTTTGAAATTAATTTGCTTAGAATCTTAAAATGGTCAATGAAAGTAGCCAAAAATCTTTGTTCTTATATAAATCTATTACTGTATATTAAAGGTTTTTGTTTTAAATAAAATATAATGGATGAAAAAATAATAATAATAATTAAATTTTTCTATACTGGTTTGTTTTATGTTCAACTTTGTATCTCTTGAATAATTTTTCTTTTAATTATTATTGTGTATTATTTCACTTCTGCTATAATTAGCAAAGCACACTAATGTATGATTTATAGAATTTTACATCTGCTAATGCAGTACTTTATGATTTACTAAATAAACATTCTTTAATGAGTGGCATATGTTTGTAAAAATACTTTATTAAGCCTATATTTTCTAGAAAATAAAAATACAAAATATTTTTTTAAGCTGAAAGTATTTATTTTATTTGATAATCTAAGCAAATTTAGATCTTATAAGTAAATAAGATTTCTTTATCTTTTGAAAATTTCAAATCAATCACTTAATAAATAGGCAAGCTCAAAAAATTTATTTTAATACTTGTATATACAAGTTACAGTAGTCATGTAGTCTACTGTGACTTTTTCTATTATAATTATAATTTCTAGATGTAGGTTTTGTAGAAAGTAGAACAAATAGTACTTTTTATTTGTAAAGCATATAATTAATTGAGCTTTAAAAATTTTGTAAATAGAATTTTTAATATGTGAATATATTAGTTTCAAAAAATAAAAGTGATTTTTTGTGTACTGTGTTTATAAGGGAAAATTTAAATATTAATAGTTCACATTTGATGATTCAAAATTGATTTAATTGTGTAATTATGTAAATGATGTTTTCATAATATATTTAATTCTAGTTTTATAATATTATATTTATATTTTGATGTAGAAAATTTTCTTTAAAATAAATACAGGTTTCAAAGAACAACATAATAATTTAAAATATTTTATCATTAATTATGTTTTTTCTGTTTTATTTTGTTTTTAATCATCATAATTTTAATCATTGTATCTGTTGTTAATTTTATATTTGGCAAAAAAGTTTTTAGTATTTTTATTTTAAATTATAATTGGTAGATACAGTTTAATTTTGAAATTACCATGCTTGTTCTTACAAATATTTTTGAAATGAATAAAATGTCTGTTGAGGATCAATGAGATCAATAGTTAAGATTTGAGAAAGGTCATTGCACTAGATTGATACATACAGCTGTTACCATAACAACGAAATCTAAATTACTGTATTTCTAATTACTTAAATCTTTTTCACTTCAGTTTTATTTTATGTCATAATTATTATAGTTCTACAATAATACCTCTTTGTATATATAATTTCCAATGGTAAAAAAAATAATATTAAACACGTAATATGCATAAATCTTTTAATTGTAATAAAATAAAAATTATATTTTCTTTGTTATTTTATTAATAAGTTTCTAATTATAAATATGTAAATTACCAAACATTTGGTTGTAGTTTTTGTGAAAATTCTTTAAGTTTAAATCTTCTGTAAGTTGCTGGAACAATGCAAATACACCTGAATTGTGTTTCTGTGCAACTTAAAGGAAATAAATTAATATTAAATAAAACTGGTTAATTAATTAGTTTTATTCAAGAAAAATACATGATTATATAATAATAATGAGAATTTATTTTATAATTAAGTTCTTAACAATTTAACATTATTTATATGAATGAGAAATTATAATTTATTTATTTATTATATATAATAATTTAATGATTCAAGTAAAAATTAGACTATGCTTCATAATAGTGATTTGCCATCATACTATGAAAAATAAGTTTATTTATTTCCTGTAAGTTACACAGAAACATATTTTGGTATATTTACATTTGTTCCATCTTTCAGAACATTCTGAAGAATTATATTATGACAATTAATCATACATACTAATAATCTTTAACCAAGAGACCAAAGGTTAGATCTGGTCTATCCAGCATAAGATTTTAAAACATTTACATGACTAAATTTTAAGTGAAACTATTATACTAGATTATTAATAAAATTAAATAGATATTTTAACTTTTTAAACACAAAAAGTATCATTTATTTTTATTTTTTCCACTGCTTTTCTTTGGTCCATAGAATTTTGTCATCAGTCATATTTGGTCCATGTGAGAAAGATGTGAGAATCATGATTCATATCATTAATTTTTAAATTAACTACCATATAGTTAGATGTGAAAAAACTCATCCAATCTTCAAGTTTTATTACTTCCTGCTTCATTGAAGATCTTGTGGTTGTTTCTCAAGTCCTAAGTACAGTACTTTAAGACCAAAAGACCTGAAAGTACTGTATGTCAGACTTATGAGAAGCAATGAACATTTTCTATTTTTTAGAATAAAAATTGACTTAGAGAAGGAAACAGCTGATGCAGAACTGATTTTAAATGTGAACAGTATCCAGTCTAATGGTTTTTTTAGTTTCTTTTGAAGTTATACCTCTGATGTAGGCTAAAAGACATAAAATTGCAGTTATTTCTTATAAGTGTGAAGTAAGATATCTGATAAAGCAGGAAATAATAGCATATGACCTATTTAGCCATAAATTGATGTGTGATAACATTCATTCTCCTAAGACAATCATTGTTATCAATATTTCACTGATTATAGTTGAAAAATCTTTTCTAATTCAGGGAAAATATTGGTTGAATGGTTTGAGTTTTATTTTTTACTTTCCTAAAGTTATCTCAAAAAGAAGAATATATTACTATTCAAGATGATGAGTTTTAATTGAATCATTTATCTATCATTCTGCATTTTTCTCTGAATAAGAAATCTATCTTTCCATTAAATAATGGATGACTCGATTCTAGTAGTAAATAAATTTCATTATTTCACTATTATCTAATATCTTTTATTTTACTTTTATTTAATATTTGTGTAAGGACTGATAAATAAAATAAATATAAATAAATGAGGTTATCAAAATAACTATAACTATAACCTATATCAATAACTGTTCTTTGTGTGATATGTTACTGAAAAAAAGCCAATAGCTTTTGGTTTTTTTGAAATAATACACAGAAATCAGTAACAGAATGATTAATTAAATGAGATTATATTTCAAAATTATCTTTTATTATTCATTTAACAGAATGTTTTAAACACTTGTGATTATCATCATATGTTGAAGTAAACAATCTTGTACTACTGACTCAATTTCTTCTTTTGAATTAAAAATTTTTATTAGTTTATTCTGTCATTATTTATTAGTAAAAATAAAAAACAAAATATTTCTGTATATATTATTAAACTTTTTAATGTGTGTTTTCTCTGTCAAAACTACTATTTATCAACTTTTATCATAAATAAAATTTGATATAATAATCTTCAGAAATTATTGTTTTTATAATGGAGTTGAAATTGTTGCTTTTAGGATTAGATAAACAAATTAGGCAAGTCTATTATTAGCCAAAAAATGAAGGGAAAAAAATGTAAATTAAGTAAAGTTATTTTTTATATTCTGAAAGCACCTGAAGGATACAAAATAAATATAATTAAAAATACTTTTCAATCAATAAGTTACAAAATCATACATATTTATTATATTAACAGTTTTTTAAATATTATGATTTATAATAATCAGAAACAAATAATCAAGTAAATGAAGAACAGCTGAAAATTAAAATGATTGTTTATAGTAAAAAGATTGTGATGATTAAAATTTTCTTTCTCCAAATACATTAATAATTCTTTGTGTATTCGTATTTCAGAAATTTCGGTTTAGTAAACAGAAATTATTTCAATTAATAATAGTTTTTTTTTTTTGTTTTAAGTTTAAAGTCTAGAATAAAATTGTTTGTGTAATGAACGCTATGGCCATCTTTCATTATAAACTCCAAAGTTCATAAGCTCTAGATAAAATAAGTTTGTTAGACTGTTTATGTTAGTCTAATGAAATATAAATTTTTTTTTATTTCATTAAAACATTTCTTTCTGAATTTAAGAGTAAGATTCAAATACTTATTTATATCAATTGGTTTAAATTTAAAAGGACATTATAATAAATTTGATGTACTTAACATTTAAAACTGAAATTTTATTTTCTTGAGACTTTGAATATTTCTTTTAAAAAATATTTGTTAGAATTTCAAGGTTTAAATTTATTATAGAATNATATTTATAATATAATAAAAATTGACATTGTTTTTAGCATTTTTAACATTAATTTTTTTTCTTCTATATTTCTAAATTTTGATATGAATTTTATTAAATCTGACTTATTATAATTGTATAAACTAAATCTAACCTTTTTTTTTTTAACAGTGTGACAACTATAATATATTTACTTAATGATTTCAACATTTATGATTAAATTATCAGAATGAAATATAGTGAAATGGCAACTGATATTGCACGAGGTGGAATAGAAGCTCTGCATATTGCTGAGGTATTTAGTCTATATTTATTTATATATTTAGTTGATACTGTAAAACAATGCTGTGTAAATTAGTCCAATAAATTAAATTAGAAGTTTTTAAAATTAAATATTATTTATTTTTAACAATATACAGATATGAAACTATCAATGTATGAGGTGATTCAAAAAAATAAGTTCATTGCCTTTAAAGTCAACCAGAATTTACTTTTAGAAACAAGATGCATTGCAACTATACCATTTTTCAGTGTAATCATCTTGGCAATTCAAGCACTTATCCTAGCACTGCATCAGTTTCTAGAAACATTCAGCAAAGAAATGGTCCATGTCCCTCAAGGAAAGTTTTCATATGCACATATGGTAAAATAATCAATGTCAAATAATATTATCAAACATCAAAGCTTGAAGAAAACGATACAGAGAAGGTCAGACTTGTTAAGCATTGGTGTACTTTATTGGATGATAACACTTACTCTTATCCCAAGAAACCAGGTGTTTCTGTGAAATCATCACTGGGAATAATTGAGTCATCTCTGATGCATTCCCAACATCCCCACTCATTTTGTGTTTTTTAAGCTGAAATGATAGCCATCCAAATGTTTCAGCAGTCAAAGCATGTTTAAAAGCCTTTCTCAAGGGACTTGGACCTGATATTTTGCAGAATGTTTTCTGAAAACTAGTGCAATGCTGGAATAAGTGTTTGAATCGCCAAGATGATTATGATGAGTAGTAGTACAGTAGAGCCTTGATTATCCAACTCAAATGGGGACTGGAGTTGGTCGGATAACCGAAAAGTATGAAAAAATCCATTATTAGTGTAGTATATTATTATATCCCATGTAATTAGTATATCGCTATTAACCTACTTTGCGTTGAATTTTCATCAATGTTAAGCCTAACAAAAATTTTTTAAAATAATAATCGTCGCTATTGTATCGTTAAAAATTAGAAAATTAAGCCTCATTTAAATACTGGCTCCCTTTCATGGTCGAATGAGTGTTGCCAGCTAAAACACGTAAAAATAATATTAAAGTAGCCAAGACATAGCCAAATATTGTAGTGCCACATCACTAGTGGACATTTGAAATTTGCCGACTAGGATGGTCGGTTAATCGGGGGTTGGATAATCGAGGCTCTACTGTATAGTGATTTGTTTCTGAAAATAAATTTTTGTTAATTTGAACAAGGCAAAAAACTTACTTTTGAACCACCTTCATAATTTGTTCAGATAGTTTGTTACATATTCTGTTCAAATAATGCCAATATTATATTACAATAAAATTAATAGTTTCAGAATGTAGAGGGGGGGAAAAAGCTTAATTCTATCTAAAATATAAGAATACTAAATTCTGCATGACGTGTTTTGAATAGAATGACTAATTGTATGCTAGAGTAATAATAAAAATCATTTAATAATGTTTAAAAATTATTTAAAAAGCAATTCATTTTAATTACATTCACTAGTTTACTGCCATCATTAATCAGTTATTTTGAGAAAATAAATTTATAATAATAATTAAATTTTGAAAATTTAAATGATTTGAATTAGATATTTACATTTAATATAATCCAAAACTGATATTAACTGTCATTTCAAATTTTCTCAAATTATTTTATTTAATTATTACTTAAGATAATTTATAAAAATTTGGAATATAGTATATATAGTATATCCTGAAAAAATATGATTTGTAATGTAATGACAAATGGAAACAAGAATAAGTATAGATTAATGAATCTTAGAAACACCTATCTTAATTCTTACAACATATTGCTATAAAATTGTTCCATTGTTAATAACATATAAATTAATATAATCATTGAAATAAGGAAAGTATGATATTTATGAAACAGGGTATTGCTCGAATTTCTTCAAAATCAGAAGATCATTTAGATACACGGTGGAATGTGGGCGTAAATAATATGAAAACATTTGATGCCGTTGTTTTTGATGTTCTTAAAGTTATGCCAGAAGATTTTGCTGTAAGTTTTGATTTTTAATTTATAACTATTATAAAATGTAATTCATTTTATATACGAAATAACATTTTTAATATTAACTGGATATTGTATATATATAAACAACATTTTTTGAGAAACTCATCTCTTTTTGTCTTCAGAATTGAAAAAATTTTTAAATATAAACATTAATTACATTAGTTAAAACAGGTTTTTTTTTCCAATATACTATTTCTACTTTTAAAAATTCATCAGCAAGTTACATAACTTTCCTAGCTAGAGTTAAAATTGTATGTAGCACCCATTTCTTATGAAATTTTATTTTTGTTAGAACAATGATGTTTAGATAATGAATTTTAAGTTAAGTCCTTTAACTTAAAATTAAACTTTATTCTAATCTAAGACTATATATGCACTTGTTCACACATCCATAACTTGGTACGTGGCTGAAAACAGATCTCTTCTTGTTTCAAGTGGTCTTGCATGGGTTTTGCCAGTTCATACACAGTTTGCGATATCAACACTTGCTTTAGTTTAGTATTCCCTAACAATTTTTAAAAACTTTTTATATTATTAATTATTATAAAATGCAAAAACCTAATTTTGAGAGTAGATATGAGTTTTATAAAAACAAATTGTAAATGTTAATATTAAGTAAAATCTTTATAAGTCCAATTCCACTTGAGAAATGACATGTAACCTCTCTCTTTCTCCTCTACTGTTTTGACTCTTAACTACCAAAATTTTATAGCAACAATTCCCTAATAAACAAACCTTTCTATAAAATTTCAGAAATTTTCGACAAGATAGAAAAGAGTTATTAAGCTTCAAAGTGGGTGGACAAAACTGTACCTCCACATACACACAAACACAAACATTCATGTGTACAGAGAATAGCCCCAAATTTTTTTTGCATTTCTCGACACTTCAGGGTCCTGAATCCAAAAATGTTAAAATCTTGGGTGGGTAATTTTTACAGCTGGGAAAGTAAAAATGAATTCAAAAAATTATATTTATTTTTTAAAATAAGTTTTTTTATGATGATGAAGTAAAAGCAAACAATTTATAAAATTTAAAATATATATTCCTTAATGAATCATTGGAGCAATTAATTATTGTCTAAAATTGTTGTATATTTTTTATACCAATAAATTGGAAAATATCATCGTTCATTAGAAATCATAATTAAAATGGCTATTTTAATTATGGTAATTTGTATATACAGTAGAGTCTCGAAAACTCTGCACTTGATAACCCGGCAGTCCGGATAACTCGGCCACACCCTGGCAGGGCAAAAAAATCCTTAGTTAATTAATTTTCATTATAGACAGCTTTATGCCTCATAAAGTATTTTTCTGAGGTCTGTCTTATCAGGTGAATTACTGTACACAGTGTATTCATTAATTTTCATTTTCATGTAGTAAATGCTCTATGCCTTCATAAAGGATGTACTTTTCCTTTGCTTAAGGGTATTTGGGCAGTTTATTCTCTGTTGTATTCTCAAGTAAACAATACATACAAGTACAGCACAGTATTTTCTGAAGAAACACTCATACTTATTTTTTTTTTTTAACCGCATTCCCGATAACCCGGCATTTTCACAAACTCGGCCACCCTTCGGTCCACATTAGGCCGAGTTTTCGAGACTCTACTGTAATATGTTGTCTTGTTGCACTGTTTTTAGAGAAATTTCTTTCAGTAATATTGTAGTAAAAATTAAAATTAGCTTTATAAAAAGAAAAATTGTAACAATTATATTTTTTTTGATTGTTATAGAATTTTTTTATATTTATATTTAATTTATAATTTTTCTATAGTTGATTTTATCTTTTCTTTAACATTTAATATTACAAATATCATTATTACTTTTTGATTTTGATTTTTTGTATAGACATTTCAGTTTTGCACATAATTAAAAGTAAAAAGTCGTCATATACTATTAATTTAATCTTTATATGAAACAAAATTTAAAATAATTTCATATTGATGATAATTTTACATAAATTAATCAATTCAGAATAAATTGATTTTATTTGAATTATAAATATTCTCTGATTTAATATTTTAAGTAAATTATCAGAATGTTTTTGATATTTACTAAGTGTTTCAATATATTTTTATGGTCTATGTAAACTATACATTAAATACTGAATGCTTTAATATGAAAAACACCAAACCACACTTTAATCCAGTAAAGAACAAAAATTTGACGACGATGTAACATTTTCAACCTTTTTCAAAGGCCATCATCAGGTTCTAAAGATGGAATATAAATTTGAACAGAAAACAAAATTCAAATATAACTGGATAGATATATATTGTGACATGTCACATACATACACATTAAAAAAATTATTAAATACAAACTAAGTTTGATTCTTTTATCAAGTTCAGTTTGTATTTAATAATTTTTTTTAATGTGTATGTATGTGACATGTCACAACATATATCTATCTAGTTACATTTGAATTTTGTTTTCTGTTCAAATTTATGTTCCATCTTTAGAACCTGATGATGGCCTTTGAAAAAGGTTGAAAATGTTACATCGTCATCAAATTTTTGTTCTTTACTGGATTAAGGTGTGGTTTGGAGTTTTTAATATTGTTATGGTTATTGACATGAATGAAACATCAATTTATCAGGTGACAAAACTTTGCACAAATCAGTAGAACCCTGTTAAGAAGTTTTTGAAGGGACCACAGTAAAAAATTTCTTAGGCAGGAAAACTTTTCATGCTGGAGTTGTAAAAGAGTAATTTTTTATTTGTGTATTCAATTTTATTTCAATATTAAAGTAATATAATATAAAATAGCATAGTGTAACAGTAGAATAATAAGATGCACTGACAATAGCAAGTGCTTAAATGTCTGGTGTCAAAATGACATGTCATTAGTTAATGGACAACATCAGATAGGAAGTATTGTCAAAACAATAAGACCTCCAGCAAAATTAGTGATCACCCAGATGTGCAGGTGTTTGATATACAATGTGAATGAAATACAATGGTGAATATCTGGATATTACTTTATTAAAACTTTACTGTTTTTATAAGTGATAAAGTTATGGTCAGGAAAAAGATTACAATTTGTCTCCAATGTTCTTAAGTTGTAAAATATTATTGATGAGACTAATATTTTGGAATTTCTTGCATGGGAAAACTTGTTAAGCAGGAAATTTTAACACATCTTATGGCATAAATGCTGGGACTGGAAAATTTGGACAACTTATGTTGGAACTTCTTAAATGGGTTCTACTATAGTGGCTATTTACAAAACCTACACAAATTTTTTGATCATCTGATATTTGTAAAATTTAAAGTTGTATTATATGAAAATGATAAATTGCATTTGAAAAATAGTGTACAACATTAAATTTGTGCACTTTCATTTCATATCCTTACATAGAAAATTGTTTCATGCAAATGAATATTCTTCATAAAATAGTGTTATTTTATGTAGAAATATTGTAGAAATATGTCATTTAAGTAGAAATATTAAAATAACTTCAAGAACAGTTAAAGCAAACAAGTATATTATTTATTAAATTCAAGTTACTGTGTTTGAATATGACACTAAAAATTCTATCCAAATTAAAGATGATTATTTAATTAATTTTTTATGTGGAGAAACAATATGGTCTTATTATATGATGTGGCTATAAGTTACATTGTTTGTAAATGATCTTATAATGCAACCCTTATCTTAGCTGAGTATCTTTGAATATTCAGTGATTATTAATATACTTGACTAAATAACATTGAATGAGCAATCAACACGTTCTTGCATTATGACTAATACTACTATCAGAAAACATAGTTATTTCATAAACACAAACTTTTCGTTCAGTTTGGGAATTTAGCATTGCAAACATATATTATAGATAAACCTAATTCTGTTTGACTATTACTCCTAAACTGTACTTACAATAATAATAATAATGTCACACCAATATCTTTAAATGCAGTAGAATTTTAATTATACTCGACATTTTTGGTTGTTTTGTTCTGATGCATTAACTTTCAGATCAAATCAATAAGTTCTATATTGACAGCATTTGTTCTGTTTAGAAGATATTTTTTTCCTGGGAGAAGGTTGTTAAAAATAGAATTTTAACTATACTCTAACGTTTTTGGCTATCTCATTTAAATGTATTGGTGTGACATTATCTGGTTGAAGCTTTTCATCCATTTGGCAATAAAAAGTCAATAGTAAGATCTTCAAAAATTTGATAAAAACCAATAAGAAGACATTTAAATTTGCATATTAACTCATACTATAAATAATGAAAAGTTTTTGTATTTATTAATTTTATACTGTCCACAAATCCTTAGTATATAGCTCATTGATATCATATCCAAAGAAATCACAATACATTTAGACATAAATAGGATATAATGTGATTATTTGCTTTTGAATGTAATCTGAAGAGGACAATGAAGCTAAAATATATCACTACTACAAGTTGAATATTGAAGAGTCTAAACTGAATTGTGATTTCTTTACATATATCAACAAGTTAAACAAACACTACAAATTCATGACTGATATAAAAATAGTGAATGTATATGATTGTTAACATTATTAATGTGAATGAAAATATTTTGTTAGATTTAATTGTCTTCTGATTCATTTTAATCTTATCTTGTATATTCAGTTGTCTTGGAAAAATATAAAACTGTTATCAGCTTAAAACAAGATGACAGACATTTATAAAAGCTAAATATTACATTTCATTTATAAATACAGTAGACCCCCCTATAACGCTTAGATACGTTCCATGCTAACCGAAAATTACGTTGTAGGAACGATTAAATACATGAGCCAATCGCAGCCCGATAGGTGGGAACTTTACGGACTAAGGCTGTTCGAAAGGTTTTCTTCTATAAAATTAACCGATTCTAGACTAATTCCACTCAACATTTCCAAAACACGTATAATTTTTTGGGAGTAATCCGTATAAACTATGCTATAAACAAAAAATTATAGGATTACTTACCGAGTGTGTACCGTTCGACTACGCCCGTTGTTCAAAGCTTGTCTTCGTCGCGGAACAGCACACGAAACGGCGGCCGCGATATCTGATAAATAATTTATCGCAGAAAAATAACTTGACCTTTGGAGACATCATTAATATAAATAATTTTTATGGCCGTTGAATAAGAAGTGTTTCTTTCACAAGAAATGTATAAAATTAGTGCTGTATTAGACTTACGGTACCTAATTTACATACTGTGCAGACGATAATAAACTCAACTTACTAGCCTAAAATCTCCGTAGCGTGTTGCCAGGCGGCAGAAAGCATATATATAATTATAATAAAGTTACAATAAATTAAGTTAATATATAATTATATATACAGTACCTAATTTATATATAATTAATATATAATTATATGTACAGTACCTAATTTATACCTAATTTATATATAATACTAAACAGACGATAGCAAACTCAATTTAGCCGCTCCGTAGCGTGGCGCAGGGTCGGAGGTAAGTAGTTCGGCTGCTCATCCACTATTGGTCCAGACTCTATCAATCTTCTCGCGAAACGACGTTATAGGAGGTACGTTATACGAAAGTTTCTACAATTTTTTCGCTACGTTATAGGAATTGTCGTTATAGGAACGTACGTTATAGGGGGGTCGACTGTAGTCTACAATGCATACAAAGAAAATGGAATATTAAAAGATCAAAAATAAATGAAAATAATTATCTTATTTTTACGAAGCTTTATAAAGTAGTAAAATTATTCAAGTTACAGCTATTATATAATGTAATAATTTTAATATGTATGTAATACCACGTATGTATACAGTACTGTACATATATGAATTTTAATAAAATTATGATATCAAAACTTAAATTCAACAACAATAATTTCAGAGTCAATTAACTTTAATGGATATGGATGTTTTTAAGACCATTCAACCAGAGGTATGTTATATAAAAACAAAAAACTTTATTTAAGTTTCTAATTATTTGATAATTAAAAATTCTTATTATTAATCTTGCAGGAACTTACAAGCTGTGCATGGAATAAAAGAGAGAAATTAACTTCAGCACCCAATGTTGTAGCTTTTACACGAAGATTTAATCATGTAATTGTTTTTATATATATTACATTAAATTTTACATAATATCTAATAATATATCTTGTGTCTGTATATTTATCAGCTCTATGTAAATGGCTTTTTATTTGTGGAATATGTATTTCTATGGTAACCATAGAAATAGAATTTGAATTCAGATTTTCTTTCAGAATCTGCTAAATTTTAAAAGTGATTAACTGTTAAATTTGCAATAATTTTTTAATTTGTTTATATTCAAGAAAATAAATTACTTCTGTTACTGTGGCATTGCTTAAAATTGATTAATATTCTTTCTTAGTGCATCTCATTGTTAAATGTATAGGCTTATTAGAAAAAAATTTTACTACAATTTTGTATCATAATAAAAATGCTAGTACTTTTAACAATTCTGTACTGTTGAAAGTACTTGCATTATTAAAAAAAATTTTAATGTTCTCCAACAGTGTAAAGTTTTGTATCCAGTAGTAAGTTTTAACACCTGTTTGCTTAAATTATTTTTAAATTAGTTTTGCGTTTTGAAATGATTGTTTTGTCTGTGTATCTTTACAAAACTATTAGTTGCTACAGAAATGAAGAAAGAACTTTCTACAGCACTCCAATGGGACTATTGGGTTAAATTTTTATGAGAAGTCTTAATGTTATAGTTGAAAATTGTGAAAGTGGCACCCTACTAGTCAAGATTGGAGCTTACACTTGTTCATTATGTGGGAGTTCCAATGGGCAACTTTGATGCATTTCATTAGCAATTGCATTTGAATTATTATATTTTGTTTAGAATAATTTGTCAAGTCATAGTTTCAAGAAATATATATATAATTCCTAGGCAACTCAGAACAATTGTGGGGCACGTTATTAGGAAGTAACAGAATCTTTACAAATATCATTGTGACAAATAAATAAATAATTATTATATTTTAATAAATATTGCATAGTTTTAAGTAAAAATCAATTTTTTGATGATTGTACTAGAGTATATCTATATCTATCTATATATATATATATAAATGGACATGTATGTCCCTATATTTCACTTTTCCGCAAGAACTACACATCGCACGTGAATGGTGTTTGTACGTGGTGGTAGCCCCAAGTCTCCATTCGTGCATAGGGGTGGTTGCGTCTCGATAGCTATAAGGGTGCGGGAGATATGAGGCTGGAAGTGGTTGAAAGTGGCTTTCTATTTCGAATGTTTTGTTCGAATTTGTTCGAATTAAATTCGAACATAAAATTCGAATATTGGTTCGATTATAGAACGATTGTAAACGTTCCAGAAACGTTGAAAATAGTTCGTTTGACTTGACATGAACGGGAGATGTTCAGAAATAGAATCGAGACCAGATCTCTAATCAGAAACGGGGGACCTAATTCTTGCATTCTGTGAAAACGGGTAAAATTGGCTATAATATAATTATCTTAATCTTCACTATTGTTACTTTTTGCCCAGCGAAGCGGGTCCTTGCAGCTAGATTCTAGATTACTTAGAAAAACAGTCTTTTATATATATAAAAAAACTATATTACATACAAATGTACGAACAAATAAAAACCCAGCGAAGCGGGTCCTTGCAGCTAGTAATATATAAAAGTAGTGCAAAAGTAGGTATATAGCTATGAATCAGAAATACAAATGTTTGGTGCATACTTCTTTGTTATTTATTTTACAACTTTTATTATTTTGTATTTCTTATTTGTGATTTATATATAAGAATGAATGTTTTTCGATAATAAAACTGTATATATACTTTTGTATTTGTGTTTATACAGGTAACCCCCGTATAACACGGTAGTTACGTTCCAAAAAATTGTCGTGTTATGCGAATCCGTGTTATACGAAACAAAGAACTAGTACGAAAAGGAGGGTTAGGTTCCAAAAATTAAAAAACATGCTATTATAATTTCATAATTAAGATAAATATCTTTATTAAAATTTTCTTAAGTGATACATAATAATATAAATTAAACAATGTTTTCTTCGTCATCACTAAAAGCACTATTAACCAAGAGCGTTTTCTTTTTGGCAAGTTATTCTTATTTTCTGAGTATTTTTCTGCGTTATCTTCAGATCCATGCTTTACCTTTTGCAAAAAGTATGTAATTTTAGATTGCTTGCTTTTAGTTAAAAGATCTTTATAAATTTCCTTATATGGTGCTAAGCACTTATGAAGAATAAAGCAAGTATGGAATAAGGAAAAAACATCTGGCAATATCAGAAGCAGAAGCATCGAGATCTGGTGGCAACATTGAAACAAGTTTTGAGAAGAACCAGAATCATCGACAGAAGGAAAATAAAATTTACATACTTAAGTATTAATAGTTCACGAAAATAATAATTTTCATGAACTATTATTTCTTAAGTATGTAAAAATTTATTACGTTTCATGTTGTATGAGGGTTTTACCCAATTCTCGAAATGTGTCAGAGTGAATCCGTGCTATAACAGTACCGTGTTATACGGGGATGGTACCAATTCTTGAACCGTGTTAGAGTGAATCCGTGCTATAGAAGTGCTGTGTTATACAGGGGTTACCTGTACTGTAAAATTTAATTTAAAATTAAGTATTAAATAGGAAATATTTTCTTTTAGGTAACATTTTGGGTAGTACAAGAAATACTTTCAAGTCAAACACCAAAACATAGAGCAGAAATAATGACTCATTTCATCAAAGTTGCTAAAAGATTACAAGAATTAAATAATCTTCACTCAGAATTTGCCATTATTTCAGCTCTACAAAGTGCTCCCATTTTCAGATTGACAAAGTCATGGGCTGTAAGTTTAGTACTTAAAATCATTATCTTTTACTATATTAAAATTATAATACTAGTTTATAGAAATTGAAATTGAAATTGTTTTGAATAAAATTTGTATTGTATTATCATCTTTAAACATTATTTTTTGAATTATTTTCTTACATCATAGTTTTCAAAACTGTAAAATAGCCTACAACATTAGCAGAGTACCAATAGAATACAGCAAAGATAAAATTTTATCCATTTGTGAATATTTTAATTTCAATCTGCAAGAATGTTTGTCTTTATAGATAATTAAGCATTATATGTGACTATACTCTATATTCACATGTAATGCTTAATAGAAGATTAATAGATAGAAGAACCTAAAAATGAAAGATATTTTTGTGATTGTTATATTAAAAATTATTGAAATTAAATGAATATAGAAATAAAAGTTGACAGTTTATATATAATGGAATTGAAAAATTAAGTAACTGTTATTTATTTTAAAACACAGTAACTCTAGTTTATTTTTAAAATAATTTAATTTCCTTAAATTTTATTATGTTTTTTATTTTTTGATGAGGTTTAATTGAGTATTTTATTTTATTTTTGCTCATTTTGAAATTTATTTTAAATAAGTTTCTAGTTTTTCCATTAGAATAAGTTATCTTTCATTAAGTGTTATGAAATAGTAATTAATGTTTAGCAAATATTTAAACTTGAGGATGAACTAATATTAATAATTCTGAATGTTATGTTTCATAAATCATTAATCAGTTAAATCTCTAATTTAAAGTTTAGAAGTTATTACTAATTTGCTTAATATTTATTATAATGAAAAATAAATTAAAATCTATAAATATAGTAATGAAAGTAATATATAAATATGAAAATTTTTATATGTAGCAAATTTCAAAGAAAGATAAATCAACCTTTGATAAATTAGCTGAGATCTTCTCAGATAAAAATAATTTCGAAAAATTACGAGATCATATGGGAAGTCTGAAATTACCTTGCATACCATATTTAGGTAGTATTATTTTTATCTTTTATATATATATTTAAATGTAATGATTATATTTTCTTTGCTAAAATCATACTTTTTCTATTAGGTTTATTTTTGACAGATTTAGTTTACATTGATTTGGCTCATCCTGCAACACAAGGTTTAGATAATCATCAAAGACAAATGCAAATGAACAATATATTAAGAGTTATAGCTGATTTTCAACAATCTACCTATGGTAAAGAAATATTTTATGTGCAGTTGAAATATTACTAATGAATTTTTTTATGACGGAAAATTTATCTTTCAGAAAATCTACATGTTTTACCTCATATATGGAATTATTTAAAATCAGTTAGATATATAGAAGAACTTCAAAAGTTTGTTGAAGAAAATAATTATAAGTAAGTTAATGAAAGTATTATTAATTATTTTGTATTTTTGTATTAATATTTTGTTTTGTTGTATTTTTTATAGGATATCTTTAAAATTAGAACCTCCTATAACTCATCATAGTCTTAGTCAAAGTAGAGAAGATTTGTATAGTTCAGGAAAATTTCAACTTGAATGTAAAAGTAGTTTACAAGTACCTGGTCAACTGCTACCTGGTTCCTCTAGATCTATGCCTGGACATTGTGGTCCAAAATTTGTGCCAGGACACAGAAAAGCTCACAGTTTAGGAACAAAGTAAGATTTAATGATTATTTCAAACAAATATTTTTTAATATACACTTGTAATTGTCAAAAATAAATAATACACTTATATTTATTATTAAATATATAGAACAAACTTTTAACCTTCTGATTAGGAACATTTATTTTGAACTTTCAAAATATAATATCAAAAGCAATTAGCTGTTATATTTTTTCTTACATTTTCTAAATTTCAATTTTATCTAGTCAAATTAATTTCTTTCTATGAGAAAATTTATTATTATTATGAGAGTGCAGTAGAGCATCAATTATCCAAATGCCGATCAACTGAAACGTCAGTTAACCGAAAGTGTTCCAGTTAGACTGTATTGTGCTGAATCGAACATTTTTGATACTAGATTAACTTTTCAAGTATAATTTTTTTTGTTTTTATATTTTTCAATATATTTATTTTGCTTGTACAAAATAAAGAAATAATTTTTAATGATACAGTAGCCATGATTATTATTATAAAATTTTCATTAGGCTTAACATCAACGAAAATTCAATGCGAAGTGACATGCAATGAAGAAAAATTTAAACATATTAATATACTATTATTGGAATATACTAATATACTATATTAATAATGTATTTTTTCGTACATAATTGGTTATCCAAAAAATCAATTTTCCAAACAACCCTAGTCTCGAATTGATTCAGATAATCGACGCTCTACTGTATTCTATAATTGTGATGATTGAACTTATAAAGTTAATATTTCAAAACAAATCTGCTTCATTTCTCTTTCAAAAATGCAGTAAGAATCATTTCATAATGCAAGTATTATCATTATGAAAACCTAACAAGATTTCAGAAATTTTTAAAATATCTTAAACTATCAAATGACTTTGATGATTCCCCTTATTTATATAAACTTAACCAATTTTTCTAAGTACAGCAAAAACATTTGTAGCAAACTTTCTGTAAGTACATATTTGCCATAATTTCATATTACACTGGTCAAAATAATTAGAGAATCATATGAAATTTCAAGGAAACGTACATACAATCAATCATCATAAATACAAAAGTGTCTTGTTATGATGTGTGTATGTAACAAACAACACAATAACAACACTGATATGCAAATTTAGCATTTAGTGCATATGTTATAGAATGGCATACAAGGTTCATATAAGAATAACATGAATATTTAGTCTACTAGAAAGCTCTCATAATGTATATGGTCCCCTCAAACAGCTAAAACTGCAGCAAAACTGTGTGGCATTGATTCAGTTCGGCTGTCAACAATGTATTGAGGGTATGTTGCCATTCTGCATAAAGGGCTTTCTCCACTTCATGAAAAATCAAAGCAGGTGCTAACCTTGAGTTCAGAATCAAAGTTTAATAATAATTTTAATTTTATGAATTAGTAATGTGAATTTCTTCTATGGTTTTAAAAATAGTTAGGTTAGGTTAACCCATATTTGAATGTAATTTTTCTCAAATATCAGATTAAGCATAGTTCTTCTTTGCCAAATAGAACTAACACACTAAGCCATTGTATTATATTTTACTTTGTAGAATACAGCAGTCATAGAAAATTCTGTTTTACAACACCAATGCTATTACATACAACACAATCAATAAAAGAAGAGTTTGATCCATTGATTGATGATGAAATTACCTTTTATTTATAACAATTTCATCATCATCTCAATTATTTTATCATTATTACTATACTATANATAGTTAGAGGATAGCAGTCCTCTTTAATATTGTTGAGGGAATGATATTTCATATTTAAAAAAAAAACTAATTATATTCAATGTTTCACATGAGACTGATTCTGTTTATCATCACAAATTAACTCCAAATTTTATTCAAACATATCATGTTGCATTTATCTAAATGAAAAGCAATAAAAGAATTACTATGTAGCTGCTCTCAACTATAGTTAAGGATAAAATAGAAGATTATTTTTGTATAGTTTTGGAAATGAATAATTCTTAGCTAATTAATATAACAAACAAGCATTATTAAGTAAACTTTTTTATTTAGTCTAACACCAAGTAAAGAAACAGCAATAAACATACATTTTCTGAAGGGTATTAAGAATGAGATTTATCAAGATTGATCATTATACTCAATATGAAATTTAAGTAATAAAAAAAGCTTAAAAGGAGTAATTTTGTTCAATTATGATAAAAATTTCTACAGTATTTAAAAAAATATTTGTTTAAAAACACTAGGACACATTAGCTCAAAGTTAAAATTGTTCGTAGCACCATCTGTTATGTTCTTTAAAAAATAACAGTCATATTATTAATTATTTTGTATTTTTGTATTAATATTTTGTTTTGTTGTATTTTTTATAGGATATCTTTAAAATTAGAACCTCCTATAACTCATCATAGTCTTAGTCAAAGTAGAGAAGATTTGTATAGTTCAGGAAAATTTCAACTTGAATGTAAAAGTAGTTTACAAGTACCTGGTCAACTGCTACCTGGTTCCTCTAGATCTATGCCTGGACATTGTGGTCCAAAATTTGTGCCAGGACACAGAAAAGCTCACAGTTTAGGAACAAAGTAAGATTTAATGATTATTTCAAATAAATATTTTTTAATATACACTTGTAATTGTCAAAAATAAATAATACACTTATATTTATTATTAAATATATAGAACAAACTTTTAACCTTCTGATTAGGAACATTTATTTTGAACCTTCAAAATATAATATCAAAAGCAATTAGCTGTTATATTTTTTCTTACATTTTCTAAATTTCAATTTTATCTAGTCAAATTAATTTCTTTCTATGAGAAAATTTATTATTATTATGAGAGTGCAGTAGAGCATCAATTATCCAAATGCCGATCAACTGAAACGTCAGTTAACCGAAAGTGTTCCAGTTAGACTGTGTTGTGCTGAATCGAACATTTTTGATACTAGATTAACTTTTCAAGTATATTTTTTATTGTTTTTATATTTTTCAATATATTTATTTTGCTTGTACAAAATAAAGAAATAATTTTTAATGATACAGTAGCCATGATGATTATTATAAAATTTTCATTAGGCTTAACATCAACGAAAATTCAATGCGAAGTCGACATGCAATGAAGAAAAATTTAAACATATTAATATACTATTATTGGAATATACTAATATATTATATTAATAATGTATTTTTTCGTACATAATTGGTTATCCAAAAAATCAATTTTCCAAACAACCCTAGTCTCGAATTGATTCAGATAATCGACGCTCTACTGTATTCTATAATTGTGATGATTGAACTTATAAAGTTAATATTTCAAAACAAATCTGCTTCGTTTCTCTTTCAAAAATGCAGTAAGAATCATTTCATAATGCAAGTATTATCATTATGAAAACCTAACAAGATTTCAGAAATTTTTAAAATATCTTAAACTATCAAATGACTTTGATGATTCCCCTTATTTATATAAACTTAACCAATTTTTCTAAGTACAGCAAAAACATTTGTAGCAAACTTTCTGTAAGTACATATTTGCCATAATTTCATATTACACTGGTCAAAATAATTAGAGAATCATATGAAATTTCAAGGAAACGTACATACAATCAATCATCATAAATACAAAAGTGTCTTGTTATGATGTGTGTATGTAACAAACAACACAATAACAACACTGATATGCAAATTTAGCATTTAGTGCACATGTTATAGAATGGCATACAAGGTTCATATAAGAATAACATGAATATTTAGTCTACTAGAAAGCTCTCATAATGTATATGGTCCCCTCAAACAGCTAAAACTGCAGCAAAACTGTGTGGCATTGATTCAGTTCGGCTGTCAACAATGTATTGAGGGTATGTTGCCATTCTGCATAAAGGGCTTTCTCCACTTCATGAAAAATCAAAGCAGGTGCTAACCTTGAGTTCAGAATCAAAGTTTAATAATAATTTTAATTTTATGAATTAGTAATGTGAATTTCTTCTATGGTTTTAAAAATAGTTAGGTTAGGTTAACCCATATTTGAATGTAATTTTTCTCAAATATCAGATTAAGCATAGTTCTTCTTTGCCAAATAGAACTAACACACTAAGCCATTGTATTATATTTTACTTTGTAGAATACAGCAGTCATAGAAAATTCTGTTTTACAACACCAATGCTATTACATACAACACAATCAATAAAAGAAGAGTTTGATCCATTGATTGATGATGAAATTACCTTTTATTTATAACAATTTCATCATCATCTCAATTATTTTATCATTATTACTATACTATATTATACTTTTATTACTATATAGTAAATAATAATAATAAAAATATTCAGTTTCTATATTCAAATATAATAAAATTTTTAAGTCATTCATTACGTTAACAAATATTAAAAAAATTTATTGTAAAAAACTAAAATATAGTACCAAAAACTTTGTAAGTGACTACAATAGAATATGTGTAATATAAGTAAAAATTAAACATAAGTAATCTTCATGATAAAGTTGAACAAAAATATCATATCTGTAGACATCTTCCCAATTGTTGTGTGTATTTAAATAAGTAAATTGAAAATATGTGCATATGAATTTATTAAGAATTATTTTAAAGACACTATTTGATAACAGATGTACCAGCAGAGAGAGATTACAATATTACTATAACACTTGAGCATTTGTTGAGAGAATTCTTTATTAACAAATGTTTTCAGCTTGCTTCCATAGCCCATTATCATCAGGTTTTAAAATAAGCTTAAGAAAATGTTCCACAGATAGAACATTTTTTAAATTTCTTACAATTTGAAGTATTCTGAAAACAAATTTAAAGTTACACAAATTAAATAAATAAATTATAAAAAAGTATATGGTTAACAACAAACAAATAAAATTAAGAAAAATATGAAAAGTAAAAACTAAGGAAGTATAATATAAAAGTAAAGCCAAAGATGATTATAGGAGAAGATACTTGAGTTTTTATGTCCTAATCTTTTTTCTATCACGTATTTCCAAACCAAGGTTTATGCATTTGCATCCCTATCATTCAGGCACTGTTTTTTAATTGTGTTCTTATGTATATTATTTTTTCCGGCTCCATAGTGATGGTTAGAAAAACTGTTTTAATAATGTTTCTTCATTCCACTTTATAACCAAGCCTTTCATTTGTGATAAGTTCTACTAAAATTGTATTACTATGGCCTTTTTCCACATACAAGTCACATTGTGAAGCTTTTTGTGTAACCCCAACCTAATCTTTTTTGACCCCTAACTGTTGGTTTTTATGGGATATTTTGTATACTACAGATTGTTCTTCCTTTCTTAATTTATCTTTATCATTCTTCAGTAAGTGTTTGATACACTTTGAGTTCTTGTAACTGGCCATCTCATTTATAATGTTTCCCAAACATTTGTTGTATGTAAATTTATTGATTCCATTGATATTTTATAGTTTTATCTTTGTTTTCTTCATAGCTCCTGATGAGTCCTTCTACAGAGGATGTTTCATTTCCTAAAGTTGTTGCAATTTCTGTACATTTATTGATTTCTTTTAAGCAATACTGTATATTGGAACAAAACAATAAGGCTCTTCTAATCAGTGCTCGGAATGCATGTGTTGTAGTATGACAATATTTGAATCATGATAAAATGATTTAGATATTTTTAAAACCATTGATAACATAAAATTAAAATCCATAGTTATCTAGAAAATAAATATTGAAATTTCTTCTAAATTCTGATTACTGTTTCATTTATATTTCATGCATAAATAAATTTTACTTAAAGCTTTACAATTTAAAAATATTTTGTAATTAAACAAAAAGCATATAAATTATATATGTAAAGATTATGAAAAATTAAATTATCACAGTCTTCACATATATAATAACAACAATTGAATTGCATTTTTGAATATAATATATAAATTTATTTATTTCAGAAATGTTAAATGTTTCATTATTAATGCCAGCACATTATAAAATAAATTATACATTATACTTGTATTAATTTTTAAAAATATATTTCAGTTTTTTTAAATGTGAATAATTTAATGTGTATTAATTATATAATTTCATTTTTAGTGTTTTTACACCTTGTGCCCTTGATAATGAAAGGTAAGACTGTTAACTGTATTTAATTATTACTTAATATAAATTAATTTAAAATAAAATATTTCTTAACTTTTATAGTTCTAAATGGGGAACATCCAATGGGCGACACCTTTTAGATGATAGTGTTTTAGAAGATACGCCAATGTTAAGTAGGCAGTGTTCTGTTAATAGTACTGCTGCTTGTGGTAAGTTTTATAAATAATTTTAAATATAAAAGCAATATTAAAATCTTTTCAAGTTTTTAAAATTTGTGTGTTATGTGATACTTATATATACTTTGTGTGATACTTTATATGTTTTTCATATTTGTGTAAATATCTTTTGTCTGAAACTTGAATTATACATTATAAAAGTTACTGAAATGCTTCAAGAAAACCTTATTGTCACAAAATTATTTCCATACTTAAAAATAGGATATTGTAAATATAAAGTTTATAGAATATTTTTTTAAAGTATATAAACTAAAGATTAGCAAGTGTCTGACAGTTTTCTTTCATAATATAAACAAACACTAAACATAAACACAATCATTAAAAATAAATTGTTGTTTCATTGTGTTTGAAAAATATTTTAATGAATGATTGTGAAAATCACACTGAAACTAACAAAATTGGATATCACATATTTTAGAGTAGTATATTTAAAGATATATGAAACTGTTAATAATACTACTTTCTAATATGAATACCAAATCAGTAATTAAAAGTTCTATTTTTTAATATTTTTTATGACATAATACTGTGTATTTGATATAAAAGATTATTAAAATTTACTTAGAAACATTCCATTTCTCCTTTACCATTCAAATAGAATTTTATATGACTTTTTGAAAAATAATAAAACAACATATTTGCATGTTTTTTACAGATTTATAAAGTTAGAAATTTTTATAAAAGTGTTATAACATAGCAGTATTTAAGAGGTGACAATTAAGCTACAGGATTATATAGATTTGAAAGAAACCATAAGAATACAAAAAGTATAGAGCTTCTTTGAGAGAATTATTTTGAATAATAATAAAGGTTTTTAGAACTGTTCAAAGGAACCTAATAAAAATATTTTAAAATTTTATATTTTTAAAAAATTTAAATTAGTTTTAAAATATTTCACTTACTCACTTAATCATTGGATATATTTTACAACTAATTTAAATTTATTGCCATCAGTCTTTGTCAAATTTCTTGTGCTATACAGGTATACCTCGCCTTACGTCAGTAATTGGTTCCAGGAAAACGACTTAAGTCGAATTTGCTTGTCTCCAAATCTACTTGTCACTAGGCTAAACCGTAAATTACCATTCCCGGTTCTGTATTTTATTTATTAATGCATTTTTAATAATATATGGTTAGTAAGGATCTATTTTAAGCTTACAAACAAATAAATTTTAGTTTTTAATATAGTACAGAAAAAGTAATCTAAATTTACGAATGCATGTACTGTAAATATAGTACATACTTGTAAATGTATATATTTTAATGTGATTTTATGTGCTTTAAACGTTTTTCTAGTGATATTACGACTTCAATATTTGTGGCGGACAGACGTAAAGTCGAATAAAATGACTTAAACTTGATTTTTATTTTTCCATATACTTTTTTGACAAACGACGTATAATCAGGAACGACGTAACTCAAAACGACATAAGTCGAGGTATACCTGTACTCTTTTTCCTCGATTTGTCTGTAGCATTAATATTATTTTGGAAACAAGAAATATAATAATACTTGTTTTCGTTGACTTTGGTTATCATTGATTTTTTCACGAAACATTTGTCTCAGATTTTGTCAGTGTGCCCACATGTCCTTGCTGCTAATTTTGCAAAACCATGCATTTTCCTGCTCAGTGTGGTGTGGTGTTTCTTGTGTGAGCATTACCCCACACATCTATCCAAACAATGGGCGTAATCAAAATCTGTGTGCGGTCAGCACCTCTGTTCAAAATCTCGGATGACTTGGGTTGCTCAATACACCAGCAAACAAAATGGCAGCCACCATGAGTCTCCTAAGAGCTCCATTTTTCATTGACAATTTTGAATTTATTTGTTGATGAATAAACCGTGGATAAATTAATATTTGGTTAGTACATTAATAGAATGTTTTAATATACTAGTATATTTATGTAAGACATCACATAATTTGTTTTAATTATTTAAAACTCCCATGGAAATTTTGAAAATTTTTTATTCCTATTTCACTTTTCAAAATATTCATTTTTCATTAAGCTGTTCTCGTTAAATAAGTTCAAAAATAAATTTAATGTAACATGAAAATCCACATCATTTGCTATTTTTATTGTTTTTCTCTTCTGAAATTCCCAGCAGTCAGTGTTTTGTGTTCTCTAAAAAACGCCAGCAGTCACGTCACTTCTGGCATCATCTCACTGGATTGATGCTGAGATTTTGAATATGCTGAATTCCATTGCTTTCCTTTTGCTCCATCATGGGAAATGCCATGTTAAATGTTCATTTATTCTTTTCATTAGTTTTTCATATTCATTTTATATTAATTTCTTATTGTTTTTAGTATTAAACACTATATTTATTCTCTATAAAATGTATTTTTGGTATGTATGGTATTTTTGAGTGTAGAACAAATTAATTTGATTTACATTGATTCATATGGAAATAATTGTCTTGGTTTTCATCAGTTTCAGATTTCACTGATTGTTTGGGATGGATTATCAACGAAAACCAAAGTATCACTATAGTTTGAGTGATAAATCAAAAGAATAAAAGAGTTTTGCATTTTTACACTTTGCTAATCATTAATCCAGAAAGAAACTATATAGCTCCATGCAGTATAAATCAATACATCATTTGAATTTATTTTAACCAAATAGTTTATAAGGATGGTTTGAGTGTAAAGATCAATTGCAAGTTACACTTTAAAGTTTTCTTGGCCTGGAAGAAACAGTATTCTTCCATTCCATGGATGCTCTTTGAGATAAAATAGTTCATACATCAGCTGTGAAGATAGTGATTTCCTTTCACTCATACTTTTCCAGAAATAAAGTGACAGCATCCATTATCTTTACTTTCAACCTTAAACTGCCTTGGTACATACTGAGCACAAATTTTCTGGTAATGTTGCTCATTATGAACCATATGATAAACTATCTCATATCTGATGTCCACAGTGACAAGAGAAGTCATTTGTCTGTTTTCATGAATAAGCTCAGCAATATTTGCAATGTTGACTTCCATTTTGAAACACGTGATTCTCTGTTCCTTTTTATCACAAAAATGTTTTTCTTCCACAATTTCTCATGCTATGTTATGATTTTGTAATTCATAAAATTTTTTCTGTATACTCGTTGGCAATGAAAATTATAAATTTAGATTTTGAATTAGCATATGAAATTAGAATAATTAGTATTAAATAAGAATATAAATAACAGTTATATGCTCGGTGGACAATTACAGTAGAGTATTTTGAATAATTGTAATTGATAGTGTGTCAGTTACTTTATTTTTGTTTTTTTTTTAATTGATATTTAATAATTCATGTTATAGATTAATATTTTAATATATCAATATCAAATATTTTTAGAAAATGAAGAAATTGAAACTTGGGCTGAAGAATTATTTGTGCCATTAAAATATAGGTAACTTTACTTTTTGTAAATAAGTTTTATTTAATTTGAAAGTACATAAATATTTTAAATTTTATTGTTTGTTCTTATTTTTAGTGGATCTGATGATTTCTTATCAGCAACTGCTGATTCCTCTGCTACTCATCAAGGATGTCTCCGTCGCAAAACAATTTTGAAAGAGGGAAGAAAACCAGCTGTAAGTCTTGCAATACATATTCACATAAAAAAAATTTCTGTTTATTTTAAATATGAATGTTAATATAGTGAAAAATGAATTAAGAAATTGTTAATTTGCTTCCATTTTATTTCATTTTCTAGCTGTTATTTATTTTCACATAAAATTAAAACAAAGAGCTTTTTAAATATCTGGCTAAATATTAATTTACACTTTAATAAAAGCAGAATAAAATAAGATTGCTGTTTATATGCATTTATAGATTTAATATGCTATTATAATCAAAGTTTTAAATCTTTCTGAACTTGTTATAAATAACATAAACAGTCGGTGGAATATAATATAAAAAATACAATAGAGATTAAATTTTATTAGTTTTAAGGAATCAGTATGAGGTAAAAAAAATTCTCTCCACTGTTTTAGTAATAGCAATAAGATGTATTTGCATATTAAATATATTGATTGTACTTTTTATCTAGTTTTAATATTGTCAGCAATGTTTAGTGAAACGCACTGAGTTTTTTTAATTGATAAAAGTTTTCATATCATTTGTAAATTATTTTTAATGATAATTCCTATATGAATTATCAATTCTCTTCTGTTATTAAAAGATTACATTTTATTATCAAACTATTACATGATAAAATCATGAATTAAGTTTTAACATGTGATCACATGTCATTACACTGCATGTAATTTCCATTTTTAAATTTGACAATTCTGAAAAAAACCTGTAATGTGTATTCTCTGCACATGTCAAATTTCAACGTCATATGGTTGGTTAGTTTAAGAGACATTGTTTTGCTTACAGAACAATGCCATTTAAACTTTGTGATAATATGGCATAATGTGAAATGAATTCAGTCAGAATGAATGGGAGGACCAGTCCTTCTCAGATGGACCAGAAAATAATTCTTCTGTATTTTTTGGGCCTGAAATAGCCTCAAAAAATTTAAATTATCAAATGTCATAGTCTGAGGCACTATTTCCATAAGATAAAACAAGCATTCAAGGTCATAGCAATTTGCAAACCACCATCTCATTTTATCATGCACAGCTGACATCATGACTACCTCTTGCATCAATCATGTAAGACCTCTGACAACATTAAAAATGGCATCAGAGCAGAAATTTTCCATGTTATGCATGTGATTGTGGGATAAAAACAAAAAGTTTATACAAAAGTTTATACAATCCCCACATATGTAAGACAGCAATTTTTTACACTGGTTTTTGAGGGCCTGTGAAAAGCAGAAAAAACTTTGAAATTTTTATATAGTTAAATGGATAACATATAGCATGAGGATATCATGGAAGCACAGCTAAAATATGAAAAATGGCAAGAAAAATAAAAAAATTAGAACTATCATATATGATCATGTTTTAAGAGTATTTTATTCTGAATTTTTCTGTAGTTCATAAAACTAGAAAAAAACAATAAGTAATCTAATATTGCCTGATTATGAAATAACCCTAAAAAGAGTTTAAACAAAACTGAAAAGAAAGCAGTATTCATTTTAATGTAAATGTATATTATGTTATATAATGTTACATTACTCTTATTTTACAACATCAAACATTAATAACAGAATCCCAGTTTTATAAAATAGCAGTTTAGTAAAAATAAATTATTGAAAAATGTCAGAAATTGTTAATTGCTTATAAAATTGATTTAAATTTATGAAGTGTCTTAAAGAAAATTGAAAAATATCTTCTTAAGAAAATGAGAAAGCTTATCATTATTATTAAATAGATCATATTTAAAATAAATTGAAGTTAGAAAAAAAGAAGAGAACTGAAACAATAATCAGCTGGTAATTGAAAATTAATAAAAAAGAGAAGGGAAAAATGGATGGAGTGGGAAATTACATTAAAATTTATTTAGCATATTAGCATTTTTTTTTTTTTTCGTTTTCCAGAGAATTTATTTATATGATATCTCCAAGGTTATTTATTTGTTCTATATAAGAATGACACTATTATGAATAGAAAAAAATTTTTGCAATAAAGAAAAACATGAATGCAGGTGATTCATTCAGTTAATTTTTTAATTGTGAGAATATGTCCCAGAAAAACAATAGTTGAAGATCATACTTTGAAAGAAAAAATAGTAGATATCACATACGTTAGTTTTTCCTAAAAGGTAAATAAAAGAAAGAAATTAATGTGTAAAAAATCCAGTTAGAAATCCACTGAATATTGTAGACAGACAAAAAATTTTAAAACAAAAATTGTTTATAATAAAAGTTTCAAACTTTTGCATTTTTCATATTCACAGTATCTGTAACTATAGTAGTGTCTGTTTATAAAGAAATTTTACAGACAATCAGAACTGGTTTGTTATAACCAATGTTTGTTATATTGGATAAGAAATAAAATATAGTCTGATTTTGAAAAACTAAGTTTAATATCTTGAAGGTAAAATGTAGCAGATTATTACATAGGAAGTTTCCCCTTAAAACATCAATATAAATGAAATGCACATGGTTACTTAAAAAACTGTTATTTTTGTTTGTCAATTTTTGCTTGTTGCATAGCATTCTATAATATATAGTTTCACCTTAGCAAAACTATTTAAAATGTTTTGTAGAGTATTATGCATTTGTAAAAACTCTCGGATAACAACTGTGTTTTGCAAAACTTCAGAAATTGTCATTATCAGAACATCGACCGACACCATCTGTGTATGTTGTGTCGTCATTTTTATCCTCACTAATTTCATTATTTTTAGAAGACACTGAAGCTGTATCATCATCATCATCGGTCAAAAGTTCCCTACTAATAACAGTATCAAACCTGACATACTGTTATTCTTCAAAATCACAGTCAGAAAATGCATCTGGTAACAGCAGAGGGAGCACATCTTGAACACTTTGTTTCATCATTTGTAAATTTACTTTTCAAAAGTTTATTGATTGGAATGTCATCATTTTAATTGAACTTTTCTCCATTAGTTTGTAGAAAGCCAGCATGTCAAAAACAATTTACTATTATTTCATTGATACATTGTATACAGGTTAACCACTTGTTTATAGATACTGGCATAATACACAATCAACTCCCAACAACCTTTAAATGACCAGTAAAATATTTAAAAGTACTACAAATGTTTTCGGTCTTCTTCGGGTTAAAAGTTCAGAGATTCGAATAGCAGTTTGAATCTTGGAACTTTTAATTTGAAGAAGACCGGAAATAACAGTCAAAAACATTTGTAGTACTTTTAAATATTTTACTGGTCATTTAAAGGTTGTTGGGAGTTGATTTCATTCATACATTTTTCCATGCCATATAGACAAAGTTTATTGCATCAAGAAGATTTATAGAAAACAAATCTTTGCTGTTATCTGTAGAAGTTACCATTTTCAAAAGGAGAATTAGCCAATAGCTTCTCTTTAAGCTGTATATAACCCCTTGATTTAAACACTATAGTTTTGAACTTGTAATAGGTGGCATGAACATCAGTGTAATTTATTGTTCTTGATGTTGGGATGATGGGACAATTGTCAATCAATAATAAAATTTTTCATTTCTTTCTTCTCAGTTCACCATCCCATTCTCTCAGTTTGCCACAGAAAACGTCAGAGGTCATCCAAGCTCTTTGGTTAGATTTGTAGTTTACCAGTAGCTATCAATTGTTGAAACGTCTTGGATTTTTCAATTTACCAATTACTAACAATTTTCTCTTTTTCATTTCCATAACATGTACTGTTAGTAGAATAGTAATCCTTTTTTTAGATAACTTTTCTCCTGCATGGCTTTCTTCTTTGAATTTTAGTGTCCTATTTGGTGTAAGCTTATAAAAAAAAAAGACTCATTTCATCTGCATTAATTTTATCACAATCTTGGAAATTTTCTCTGATTTTTGGCCACGTATTTTGCAACCAGTTTTCTACTGCGTTCTGTTTATTGCAGCTGCTTCTCCGACAATATTTTGGCTTCCAATACTATGTCTTTTTTTAAATCTCTCAATCTAACTGCTACTGCATTTAAACTTGGTACTCTTTTCCAATTTGCTTCTTAACTCTTCTACTTTTGACTGCAATATAGCACCACTAATTGTTGTGTTTTTAAGTCTGTTGAGAAAACCGTTTTAACAATACTTGATCTAATTCATCATACACTGATTTTCAAAGCTTTTTAGCATTTGAATTATCACGTTTGAAACTCTCGAATATTTTGTCTTTTTCCTTCCAAATGGTTAGCAACTGTATATTTAGTTATATTCATTTCTTTATATAATCCACTTTGCTTTACACTGCTTTCCAACTTTTTAATAATTTCATATTTAGTCTGTAACATAATGACTTATGTTTCTGTTTACATTGATTAGTGCTTAGTCATCATATTTCACAAGGACATATGCACAGTACTTTGTAATTCAGGCTTAGCAAATGGTAAGAGTCAATAAGCCTCAAGATTACACACAGTTCATTATTCTTTACAATCAATGTCAGTGAATGGAATTTTTCTAACTAATAATAGCATAAATTTTAAATTTTGTGACTGTTTGGTTTTGAAATTCAGATTTGAAATAATGTATTTACAGTTGAAATTTGCCAGCCAATGAAAAGCATACTTTCAATTGCCAAATGTTAAATGGGTGAGAAATCAAAGAAAATCATTTAACCATTAATAACAGATGAGAAATTACATTTGAAATGTTATTTCTCATCTGTTATGAATTGAAATTACAGCACTAACAAATGAAAATTTTTGGCAGTGTAAATTTGTAAGTTCATTCGCAATGGGCCAGTAGATGAACCTCAGAAAATACCTTAGTGAAGTATGAAAACTGGTAGAAAGAGTATAAAAATTTTAATTTGTGATGAAAAATTAGGTAAATAAATGTGTGCATTGAAATTAATTAGTTTAAAGCAAAAATACCCAAATTAACATTTCCCATATTAAGTCATTTTAGGTCAATCTTTTGGTTAAAAAAAAATGTATTTCTAAAACATTGGCTTTTCACAATGTAAAAGTTAAATTAGCTTTACTGATTTCATATTCATAGTTTTGTATATGTATAAATGGATTATTGTAATTTTAACCTATTAGAAGTTTATTTTGTTTTCATTATCTATTATATAACCAAGGTATTTATTTTAGAGGTCAGTGACAAAATATAATATATTAATTTTTTTTGTTGTTTAAAAAAAACAAAAATATTTTTAAATGTCAAAAGCATAATTACAAAACTGGCTTATCTGGTTCTTTTTATTTCATATTCTCTTCAGTTTGTGTTGTTGGCAATTGTTATTCATTCATTAATACAGGTTTAGATTAAATTAGATACAATTAATTTTTATTTCTTTTTGATAGAAAGTTGTGTTGAATAGAAATAAATTCACTTATATATGTTTTAGTAGTTAATTAAATTATTTAATAAGATATAAATAATTTCATCCTTTGATATTTGAATTACATTATTGAAAACTTTAAAATCTAACTTGAATGGAAATGAAAATAATTTAATACTACAAAATTTAATAAATAAAATACATAAATACTGTATAATAAAATAGAAATTTGCATTTACTGTACCTTGGTGAGTAGTAGTAATGTCCTAGTTATCAAGGTTACTATGCAGCTTCCTTGGCTTTCTCAGAAATCCTCTTGGAGATGATATCACCAGCCAACTGCTTCTCATTTATTCACATTAAGAATTTTTCCATCTCCTCCATAACATGCAATCTCCTGGAGGTCAGCATTGTTCAATCATGTTTTCTGGTTTTATTGCTTCCTTGTTCTTAAGAATGGTGCACACTGTTGACTTTCAGCATCTTAAATATGATCTCTAGATTCATCACACATGTACCACTTTAACACTTTGTGATAAGTTCCTTTTTCATCTTAATATTGTTATCTATGACTGATATTATTAAACTGTAAGGATGTGATGAAAACAAAAATTAATACTTTTCTTGTAGAAGGATATAATGGAAGCTATTAATAATTATTACAGCAATTAATATATAATTAAAAATAGATATATCAAATGATAGTTAGAGGATAGCAGTCCTCTTTAATATTGTTGAGGGAATGATATTTCATATTTAAAAAAAAAAACTAATTATATTCAATGTTTCACATGAGACTGATTCTGTTTATCATCACAAATTAACTCCAAATTTTATTCAAACATATCATGTTGCATTTATCTAAATGAAAAGCAATAAAAGAATTACTATGTAGCTGCTCTCAACTATAGTTAAGGATAAAATAGAAGATTATTTTTGTATAGTTTTGGAAATGAATAATTCTTAGCTAATTAATATAACAAACAAGCATTATTAAGTAAACTTTTTTATTTAGTCTAACACCAAGTAAAGAAACAGCAATAAACATACATTTTCTGAAGGGTATTAAGAATGAGATTTATCAAGATTGATCATTATACTCAATATGAAATTTAAGTAATAAAAAAAGCTTAAAAGGAGTAATTTTGTTCAATTATGATAAAAATTTCTACAGTATTTAAAAAAATATTTGTTTAAAAACACTAGGACACATTAGCTCAAAGTTAAAATTGAATATTGCACCATCTGTTAAAAGATTTTATTAAAAAACGATTTTTATATTATTAATTATTTAATTATTATAAAATTAATTTTAAAAGGTTTAATTTTTGAGGATACACATCAGGTTTTAAAAATATTGTAAATGTGTAAAATTTTCATTAAGTCTTACCCCACTGATGATATGGCACATGATCTAGGGGATCATGTGTCATATCATCAATGAAAATTTTACACATATTATTTCTTTCTACCACTTCAACTACCAAAATATACTAGCATCAATGTCCCATATATTGAAATAATTCTGCCAAGTTTCAAAATTTTTTGGTTTATTAAAATAGATGCTCACACACACACACACACACACACAAATCTTTTAATGTCGTAACCAACGTTACATGACTGGTTTCGCAGTAAGCACAGCCAGTTTACAGATGTTTTAGGTATTGTAAATGTTATAGTTACATTTACAAAGTGTAAGAGTAATATGCATTATAGCATAAAGTATTACAATGAGAGGTTGTAATACTTTATGCTATAATGCATATTACTCTGTACACTGTGTACAGTATTCATTAATTTTCGTTTTCATGTAGTAAATGCTCTGTGCCTTCATAAAGTATCTACTTTTCCTTTGTTTAAGGGTATTTGGGCAGTTTATTCTTTGTTGTATTCTCAAGCAAACAATACATACAAGTACAGTACAGTATTTTCTGAGGAAACGCTTGTACTTATTCTTTTTTAACCCCATTTCCGATAACCTGGCATTTTCACAAACTCGGCCATCCTTCAGTCCACATTAGGCCAAGTTTTCAGGACTCTACTGTAATGAAATTTTAGCTGCTATATAATGTAGTGATAATTTATTTCTCGGGTATTAATATTAAGTGCCCACCAGTGGCCGAGTGGTCTTCGTACCCTAAACACTGGGAGTTCGGTCGTGGGTTCGCGCCGCGATCGGACAGGCTGGCTGCTTGGAGTTTTCCGGGTTTTCTCCTTGCCAATAACGACTAAATAGGAGGCCAGTTCCCCATTAAAGTCCTCCCGGAAGGCATTAGTTCCCCTCGCGCAACATCGCACCCCAGAGAAGGCAACGGGAAACCACTCTGGGTAGTAACTTTCCCTAGTATACACCTTGGCGGATTACAAACCTACGCCAGGTGTCGCCGACGTCAGGAATCTGATATGGCACCAAGAAGAGAGATTAATATTAAACTGCATTAATCAACAATTTACTTTTTTCTGCTGGAATTGAACCAAACCCAGGTCTTTTAGAAAATCCCCATTGCAAAGTAAAATGCACTCTGCACATATGCAAAAGAGAGTATGGAAGGAAGACCTTGTTGGGATATCCCCATGGCAGCTTATCAAAAGGCAGCTTTTTTGGGCTCTTTAATGTCTGATGTTTATAACACTGAGAGAATAGGAAATAAAGACAAAAAAAACTTCCCAAATGTATTATCTCAGGAAAAATTAAAATCTACAAATCTTTTTGACTATTTTGACCTGATAAGTGATATAGAAATATTGTACTTAGTAGTAGCTTGTGCTTCAAATGCGAAATCTTAAGAGAATTTTGACCTAGAGTTCAAACAATGCTTCTGCAGTAATTTGAACTAAGTGCACAACAAAAAATGCACTTACTGCATAAATGCCATCTGCTGTAAGCTGAAATTGTCTCTTGCTGTAAAAGCATTGCATGTTATGCTTGTGTAAACAAACAAGCATTACATCAGTGCTTTTTTTTCACTTTAGTGTTTAGTTATATATATTACATCCCTACTTATTAACCATGGCATCCAAGAAGAGTCTTGAAAGCAAGAAGAAGGTTGTTGTATTAATGATTAACTGCTATATTAATATTTGTTTTGTTTTTTATTGAACAGTCTATAGTAGGGGTGGGTGTCAAACTCATACTCCTTAAGTGCTAATGTTTTTGTCTCAAGTATGACAGCAGGCCAGATTAAAAATAAAATGCAAATGTAATACTAAGTATAAGTAAGAAGTATATAAAAAAGATTTTATTAAAGAAAAAAGTTATAATTTTTTTTAAGTAGAGATGTATTAAACTGAAATATTTGAAAAATAAAAACAACAACAATAATAATAATAGAGTTTAACAGTTTGTTTATTAAGTATTATTTGTTTAAGTACAAAATATCACATTTTCTTTGGTATCAAGATGATAAAAAAATAAACAAATAGCATTATTGAATTGATGTCTTTGACATAACCATAGACCTATGGTTAACTGTTGGACATTTCAATAAGATTATATTGAAAAATTATTCAAATATTTTCTGTAATTCTTTTAAAAAAGACTATTTCAATGGTTAAATATCAAGCTTTTATAGTTCTGAGCACTTTCAAGCCTACTGGTTCATCATCAGAGTGAACTAAGAAACTATTTATTCAAAAACTTTGAATTATTTAGAATTTCACTAATTCTAAAAGTCAAATATGTTCTAAATTTCATCATACTCAAAACATCCAAGCAAACAAACTGATTTCTAAAACAGCATTGCCTTAAAGACTGTTTTCCTTTAATTTAAAAGTATATTTTTTGTTTTATTCTTTTCAGTTCCAATCATTCACCTTTCTCTTCTGTTCCCATTCTTGGTGTCATCCTATTCATCCAGAATATATACTACTATCTATTTTTAAACTGTTTTTTACTCTCCTCTCCTGCTTCACCATCCACTTCCATGCTGCTCCATCCTTGAAATTAAGGCTATTTTAGATATCAGAGTTTGTCTGCTTGGACATTTTGAATTTGACTTATAGAATTAATGAAATTAAAATTTTTGAATAGTCAATTTATTAATTTGCTACTGATGATAAGTAGGGGGGCTTAAAAGCACTTGCAACTGTTATTTAAGGTTTTATTTTTTTACTAAAGTAGTTTTTTGAAGTATTATAATTTATGAAGAATGATGTAATTTTAGTATATTTAAGTAGAGAGAGATTTAAAAAAAAAAAAAAAAATTTTTTTACTTGCAGGTATCTCCATGGATGCGATATTGGGTAGTTTTATGGGGGACTTCATTATTATATTATCAACCAAAATCTTTGCGTGGAAATGAAAGAAGTGACGTTAGTATATTTTTATATTTATTGTTTTATTAATAAATTTATTGATAGCGAAACATTAGATTAAATTAATTAAAATGTACAGTAAAACCTCATTTGTATGCCTACCTTCTGGGTATAAAATTTCTGGTCACATAATTAAGTGGGGTGGTCACCAAAGTGGATGTTATGAAAAAATTGACTTACAGAACTGTAAATAGAGTTTTGTACTGGGTCCTGTTAAATGTTTAATACAGATCTTGGCAACTAGCAATAAATCTTATTTCTGTTTAAAGTGCTTTAAACAATATGTTGAATTTAGGAACGCAGATTTTTCCTGTTCTGGCCACATAAATGGGGATAAATGTTACTTTAAGACATTTTTGTGTTGTCCATTTAAGTGAGGTGGCTAATGGTCACCAAGATGGAGTTTGATTTATATTAAAATTTGTGCAGTTTTACAAGGAAATTTCATGGGTGGCCAGAAAGTGGGGTTTTACTATATTTAAAATTAGAAGTAATAATAACAAACAAGGTAAATTAATTATAATTAGATAATGTTTTAAAGTTATGAAATTTTATATATTTAAATGGAGAAATTAAATGTTATACATTTAATTCTGTTTTTATTTATTTATTTACATGAACTGTTTTGATCTAACATTTTCATAAATTTGCTTTTTTAAACTATATATTTGATTTTAATTTTAAGCAAAAATACTCAATTTTCTAGGAAATTGCTCTTTAAAAAATATTCTTGAAGTTTGCTTAGAACTTTTGAGTGTGTGTAGCATTTAAGACTGATACACACACTCAAGTAAGTTTTAAGATTCAGCTGGTTTTATGACTTATTTGAACATGTGTAACAACATTCAAACTTTATCCCATCAGAAGCAGCCAAAAAAAACTTAAATTTAAAGTTTGATTTCTTTGTATAATTGCATTTCTTCCAATCCTTTCAACATGGGGTGCACTAGTGGTCAAATGGATACACCACTGAATGCTGGTAGTTGGTTTCAGATTTATGTCTGATCAATGGCTGCCTTCAAGGAGTTTTTCAAATTTTCTTTACATGTCTAACACTTAAATAGAAGCTAGTTTCCCACAGAAAGTCTTCTCATGCTGCAATCTGGAGATGTCTCCTTGTCCAGATTTCAGTTTGCAGATCATTTTTCAACATCAGGCTATAGTTTTCTTAATGACTTTGAGGTCATTGATGATGTTTCCTAAAAAGCAATTGCCAACATGTAAATCACATCTGTGATTTATTTTCTTAAGAGCTTCAATAAATTATGTTTCTTCATTGGCAGTCCTCAAGAATTTCTGGAAAATGATTTTTGCTGAAATGCCTTTTCAGGCCAACATCATGTCTTGATCCACAGATTGCAACAAAGATTCCAGCTGGTAAAATCGCAATTTTAATATCATCAGAAGCTACGTTAATTGGAATACATTGGACTATTACCAAGGACAAGAACAGTCTTTAATGGGAATTTCAAATGTCAAATGTGGATTAATTTTCAGAACAAATTCAGTTGAAAAACTATTCATTGAATTTATTCAAAGAAAAGAATTCATTCAAGCTGATCTTAGAGTGTTTTAGTAAACTGGTAGGGTATTGAATTTTGCATATTTAAGTACTCTTGGATTGGCTGATTTTCCTGCAAAAAAAAGTAGTTTGTGACTCCCAGCAACTTTTGTAGAGTACAGAGAATCACAACGATTCTCTTATTCATTTTGTAACCAGTAGTAAATTTTTTTTTATTTGTGCTGCTAGCATTTTGACAGAAGCTAAAATTTTTGTTGGAGAAATAGCACTTGTAGTTTCTTGATCTGCTGACAATTTCTCACAACAAATACCTAAACAGTGATTTCCATGGCACATTCTCCATTGTAAAAGTTATCTCTTGTGGCTAAGAATTATTTTCTGCTATTGACTTTCTTGTGCCAGTTACACTGCCTTTTTGTTAAAAATTAGTCTGCTAAGAAATCAAATTATTATTTCAGCAACCCAATATGCTGTTTTTTCCCAAACTTATCTCAACAATTTCTGAATAAACTCTCTTTTTTTTAAAAAGAATAAAAAGAAGTGTTATAACATATTGAAGTCATTGTGATAAGTTTGGGAAAAAACAGCACAGATCCAAACAAGAATCTAAATGAAGAACTACTAAGAAATGTTTTTTTTTGTTGTTGTTGCATGAACTGTATCCATAATACATTGATGGCTTTATTTTTTTATTCCTTTGTAGTGTACCTATCTGCACATTTCCTGATTTCATTTGCATGCTGATGTCTTGAAACAACTTCAGTTTCTCTCTAATCATTTACCATATTTTTTCTGACACCTAGTTCATTATATATTTGTTTTTTAGATTCTCCATTTCTGTGCATTCCAGTATTTAGTTGTATTCACTTGTTTGAGCCTATCATTTAAAATTAGTATAATTTAAAAAACTGATGACAAAATTATGTGCACATGGAGTGACTGAAATTCAAACAGCACAAATGGCAAAGATACTGTAACAATCCTATAACTTTTTCACTTCAAAATGAAGTGAAAAAAGTTATAGAATTGTTACAGTGCACACTACTTGTTTCCAGAATTGATACCATAAATCTGATTCAGGGAACAAAAATCACAGAAAAAAATATTTTAAAGCAAGACTGGATAAGAGGGAGTCTGCTGTAGTGGAAAATATTAAGCTAAAACATTTTAATCAATTACATATAGAAAGACTAGCCTTCTATATGTAATTTATTAAAAATTTAAAGTTGTGTATACAACTAAAGAGTTGCAAATTTATTTTATGCATCTCAATTTAAAAAATTCTTAAGATGTTCCAAAAATGTTGAATATTTTCCAGAAACAACATGTTTGAGTGGCTGAGGAAATGTTTTCTTGAGGAAATAGCCCTCAAGAAAACATTAACTATTGTTTTTAAAACGAATCATTACAGGTGATAAAACATGGGTTTATGCTTTTGACAAAACATCTCAACAATCAAATGAATGGCACTTGAAAGGTGAAATGAAACTGAAAAGTCATGTCAAAGTCAGTCAAAAATTAAAGTCTTGTTGATTGTTTTCTTTGATTGTTGAGGTATTGTGCATCACAAATTTCTTCCAACTGGCCAAACTACCAACAAAGAATATTATTTGAGCATTTTATATTATTTGCTTAAAGCAATTTGTGGTGAGAAAACTAATGAATTTACCACCATAATAATGAAACTGTTTACAATGCTCTTGTTTGTGAATTTTTGGCCAAAAGTTGAACAAATATGGTTCCGCAAGCTCCATTTTCACCTGACATGGCATTGTGTGACTTTTTCTTGTTTTCTTGAATAAAATTTCTGCTTTGTGGTTACCATTTTGAGTTGATTGATGCCATAAGACAAAATTTGCTGAAAGTCCTGAAGAGGTTTCATGAAAATGACTTTCAAGCTTGTTTCAAGGATTGAAAAAGTGTTGGCATAAGTGCATTGCAGTGGAAGGGGATTACTTTGAAAGGGTCAAAATAAATTTTGATGAATAAATTCAAGTCTTGCATTTTATTGAACCATTCTTAATACATTTTGATTACAGTTATAATATGGGACAGAAAAAGTTATTTGAAAATGAAACAAATTTAAACACACAAGACACCTATACCAATTCTGGAAAATTATTGAAATAAATTTAAAGAATATAAAGGAAATTTATAAAATACAGTTTTCAAATTTTATTTTATTAGATAAGTTACTTTTACTATTGAGATAAATTTCCTTTGTAATTCATAGACATTAACAATTCATTTATAAATTAAAATCCTTGAGGACTTAGTGCTAACCCTCAGAACATTTTCTGAGAAAATTGAGTTTGAATGTTTTTTAAAAAATTTTAAATTCATAAGAATTTAATATTTTGGTTCTCCAAACCACAGAAAATTCTAATAGTTGTATAATTTATTTAGCCACTCCAAAAACAATACTGTGCCATCTTTTTTATAAATAATAATATATATACAGTAGTGTGTTTGATGCTAAGAAGTTTGCCTGGTGATAAAAACATTAGCATTAAAATACTGTACCTGTACTTATTACCCATCTACTTCAGAATAAAAACTAATTGATCAGAAACTTCAGTTATATTTTCTTATGTTCTACGGTTTGCCTTCATTCTCAATTGTTCTTAAAGCTAAAAGGAAAATGTTTAAGTAAGTTGAGGCTAAGAAACATCTGGATACTGTACCCTGGAATTTTCAATCAATGTTATTGGCATTAGTGCCTAAATACACATTTATCTTGATATTGCAGGTGATTTTTTAAAAACTCACAATTTTACTTTGAATTAACCATAAAAATTTCAAATTAAACATGACTTTTTTTACATTACTTTTATTTGAATTTCAAGGGTCCAGGGGAAATATTCAAATTATCCACAAATTTGAATTTAAAATGTTTGAATTATTTAGGTTCTTTTGTACAATATACAATTTCTTTAAATATTTTCAAAAACTTATCTACTCAGTTTAAAAATATATACTATATTTTAAAATGTATAAAACATAATTTTAAATTTATATTCTTGATAAGTAATGATTGAATTATTGCAATAAAAGTTTTAATTCAAAACTTCAAAGATATTCAGTAATTCCCATGTTATGTATTAATTAGTATTTATTAGAAGCCATCACCGAACTGAACTATTTAAGACTGTATTGTTTCGTATATCATATACTCTGGATTTTGATTCACAAATTTACATCAGTTTTATTCAATAGAGAAAATTGTTGAGTAAAATTATTTTGGAAATGAATTTAATAAGCAACAGAAAAATTTTTACTGACAAAAAAAATATGAAACCTTATTTTCAGATGACTGCAAGCTATAATAATAAAATAGAGATTTTTATTCTTGAAATTTGATAAGATTTCAATTATTTTTGATTAAAAATATATGATAAAACCTCATATGTTGTTTCTGATTTAGCTTTGGATATACTGTAATTTTATTTTGTTTGCACTAATTTTCAAAAGTATTTCATTAAATTATTAGAAATAACTTTAAATATATTATTTATTAAATTCAATTCTTTCTAGACTGCATATTGTAATATCAAAACACTTACTAAAACACCTTTTCTTGCAGCCGACACTTTATTATAACAACTTTCAAATGTTTTCGGTCTTGTTAAAAGACCTTTCTCAAGAAAATAAAATTAACTAAGTAACAAAATAAATAACACAATCGTAAATCGAACGCTTAGTACGAATAACTGTTTTTTCAAATCTTTCGAACTCGCTTATAATCCGTTGTATATGACGTCAGTGTAACCGGAAATATAAAAAGATTACATAACTATCTAAATATAAATACTTAAAGATGCCATCTCCTTACATCGTTCAAAAAATATAACTTGAGATACATATTAACTACTTTCTTCAATTATTAATTTTATATTAAGCTAGAGGACCATGCTGCCGATATTTTAGTCGATTCCCGGAAGTTGACTGCAAGGCCTTTATGCTTTGCCTTACAAATCTGCCAGGCTTCCGCGTAATGTCGGTGTCTCCTGTCTCGGACTATCTGCATTAGTCTTGCTTGGTCCCATTCAACATTGACGTCTTGCTGGTCCGCTAGAACGTAGGTGGCTAGCGCAGTGCAAGGTTGTTTTTTTCTTATATTTGCTTGATGTTCTGCTAACCTGTCTTTGATACTTCTTCCTGTTGCCCCTACAAATAAAGCGTCGGCTGCAAGAAAAGGTGTTTTAGTAAGTGTTTTGTTATTAAATTCAAATATAAGAAAGGTGTTTGTATATCTTATAGCAATAAATTTAAATCTTAATCAAATGTTTCTCAGATAAACAATAAGAAGAATCCCATATTATTAGTTTATTATTAGATATTATTAGTTTATTATTAAATATATACTGTATTTCATTCTAAGAAAAAGTTACCTCCAAGTTTAATAGTTTATTATGTTTAATATTTCAGTTTAAATCAAATCCAGGAAAAATTACATCTGTTGTAGGATGGATGGTTATAAGCAGTGATAATCCCCATCAGCCAGATGCTTTTCAACTGACCGATCCCATCAAGGGCAATGTATACAAATTCCGAGCAGGAAGTCAAGCCAAAGCAATGGAATGGTGTAAGTTTCTACAAGATGCAACAAAACACCATCAGGAAAAGGTAAATTTATCATTAATTTCAGTCAAATTAAAAATTTAGTATATATAAATAATTTTTTAAATTTATCAATGCATTTAAAACAATTCCGTTCATTAGCAGCCAGTCGATAATTTGATGACCTTTGAGTGAATAAAAATGTACAGTGGAAATGGATCAAAGGACATGTTATTTTATAAAAACAAAAAGGAAAAGAAATGCAACTGAAGTTCATTTTTGGAGATAATCCTAAAATCATCTCAATGTGCCATTTGTTTGTCGAATAGGTGATCAGCTATAAAAGACAATCAAGACATATCATATTTTTAATCATTCAAGCTTAACAAGATGAGGTTATGATCCAAAGAAAATGTGCTCAAAAATGCAGTTTATATAAAAGCAAATCACCAAAGATTTTCTTTTTTTAGCAAAAACGAATTTATTCCTTCATTTAAAGACATTGCTCATTATTCAGATCAACCAAAGTGTTTTCGTAAACAGTTTTTGATGGATCAACAAGTACTCATTTGTGTTGCAAATGTTTATATTTCCTGAATTCTTTGTTCTTCATTGTTGAGATTAATTTTTGGCACACATATTATATATATATATGTAATTAATTACTCTTGCACCATATATTGTTTTCACCACCATTTATCTTTAAAAGAAATAGTAACTTTTATATGAAAACAAGTTGTGTGCACTTATTGTATTATAGGATTATATTTATCATTAGGGCTACAAATTTTTGCATATTGTAATTGTTGATCATTTCTTGCAGATGACATGCCTTATTTCATCTTGGTGATTTTTCAGTGCCTTCAATATTAAGACAAAAAAGGGGGGAAGTTGCTTAAACTGTTGGAAATTAGATACATTGTTTACTTACTGGTCTTCCCAAAATGTTATTGCTGTGATATTCCTTGTTTGTGATGTATCCAGTTGTTTGAAGTTTGACACTACAAAGTACAGATGTGTTCTATTTGGGCAGCTTGAAATTTTCATATAAGTCCATGACAAAATAATGCAGAATTTTTTGCAAGTTCAAAATACTTGTACAGATTAAAATGTCTCTGACAAACTGTGCTTTGTTTATTTCCTTTACAGATATATGTAGTTTCTCTGTTATGTCTTAATATATCCTACTGTCCACCTCTGTGTCGTTGTTCAATTCAGTGAAATTACTGCTTAAATGTATAGCAAGTGAAAATTATTTTAATTAAAAAAAAATCATTGTTTACTTAACATTTGTAACATTTATTAGAAATCCATATGTATCATTTCACATAAAGGAAATAATTTTTTTTGTATCTGAAGAAAAACGATAAAATTTTACATGATTGGATTATATGAAATGTAATCTTCTCAGAAAAGAGAAACCTTTTATGCAAATTTGCAAGAATGTGAAATCATTTATTGATTATCAATTTTATTTCTACTGGAAAAAACTTACTGCAGTAACTAAAAGAGAGACTTTACCTAATCATTCACTTTATAAAAAGTTTGTGCGAAAAATTTACATCAAAGGAACTATTATAATTTCGGAATTTCCTGTTCATTGATTCAGTATATCCCATGTTTCATAAAATGCATTAACATCAATTAGTAAATTCATGAACATTGCAGTGATTATTCATTTTTTGTAGCATACGGCAATGTAAAAGTTTTAATTAGATATAAATGATGCTCTCAATAAAATTGGAGATTCCTAGAACTTGTTCATCTTTTATCCTGATTTAGGAAACTACCATAAACTATTTTAACATAAAATTTGTGTGTAAATTTTTATATGTAGGTTGTATAATTTACTACATACCCCTCCCTACTTATTCAAATTTATTGGTAACACATTCGGTATGAATGAATATGCTTATTTAATTTAAAAAGCTTTATGAATGCAATGAGATAAGTTGTGAGGATATGTCATTGTAAGTATTTGTAAAAGAAAAAAAATTACTGTTATAATTATATATTTATATTAAATTTTAACATACATTAAATTTTATTTTCTACTCAAATGCTGATATAAAAATATTTAGAATTTATTAAAATTTGAATGATGATGATAATTTATAATGTAATGAATTGTTAATTTGCTTTGTCAAAATTATCTTTAAAAAAATTTGAAGTTTAATAGATTGTATAAAATTATGTAAATGATTTCATTTAAATGAAATGCTTTTCATCCAATTAAAATCTTTCCAGAAACAAATAAATGAATAAAATGATGTTTATTAGGTTCAGTTAAGAGACAAAATTATTAATACTTAATCTGGAGCTGAAGGTTTTACTTTAAATTTAAACATATATAATAAAAAAAAAATTGCATAAATTTTCTACATTTAAAAAAAATGTTTTTTAACAGAAATTACTACATAAAAATATAGTGTTTTGTATCCAATGTACTAGCATGTTTGTAGCTAAAGCCCATGAATTGGATAAAGCAAGGATTAACCTTTTAATGTTAACTTTATTCAAGTTTTTTTAATTAAAGCAAGTTATAATGTATTAACTTTTTAACTTGATCTGTATAAAGTGTATTTTATCCAAGTCACAAGCACATAAAGCTGACATTATCCAAAAACAGATGGATGAAGCAAGAATAAAACTTAAAATTTGGGCTTTATTTGGATCAGCAGAGACTGTCTACTGTTGTTTGGATAGAGCTGAATGTAGATAATGTCTTTTTACAGTTTACAGACATGAGTTTTTTTTAAAGCCATTATGTTGATAGTATAAATGAAGCAATATTGCCAGGGTTTTTTAAAGCCACATACACCTATATGTGTAATAATTTTAATACTACTATTAAGTTTACATTCTTGGATTAGTAAGTACAAAATTGATTAATTATGGTATTTATCAGGCATATTGTGAGGTATAATGTATTCTTATTTATTATTCTTTTAATTTATAGTTTTTTATTATTTATTCTTGAATTCATCTGTATTATGTCTTCATATTATTTGCTATTTTAAATATTTTTGTTTTTAAATTGGACTGGTATTTACGTCGCTTTTATTAATATTTATTCTACTTGCATTTTTCTTTTATGGAATTTTTATTTTGTATCTTTTATAAAATTTCTCTCAAACAATTACACACTGGATAATTTATTTAAATTGTGCATTGAACAAAAGTGCTTTAAGAGAGAACTGGAATTATTTTAAGTACTAGTGCATAAAGAGTGAACAAGATCAAGAAAATGGGCGTAAATAAAATTCGAAAAATTATGGATACTTAGATTATATACATATTTTTAAATTATGATAAATGTTGTGTTTGGACATTAACACCTCTTTGAGGTGTACTCCTATGATAAAAATATGATGATAAAGCTATTTATGACAAAGTAGTTACCATTTTTCATATAATTTACTGAAATTTTCCTGATAGATAGAAATAATATAAATTCTTATCTTATGAAATGAAAAATACGTTTTTTTTTTGCTCTTACATAAGCTTGTTTTCTTAAGAAATTCGTACATGAATTTAAACTAAACTAAACTAAAACTATTCTGACATTGATGGAGTTTCCATTGTGTTGATAAAACACTTTAAACGCCATACTCTGTATCCAATAATGAAAATAAAATTTATAAGCCATGTCTAATCTGATATAAAATCAACAAGACAAAATACTGGTGTCCAACAATTGACAGATAGGTGCGTTGCTTTGTCAAGCCTTATCTCTGGAAGATATGTCAACATGACCTCTGTTTGACCCACCGTTTCCGATGCCAGGTGAATAAATTTCAGGTTCCAGTCACGATTCCACGATCCACCTCTCCACTTGATAGTTTTCGCCATAGGGTTAAGAAATTACAGAAAATTATGGTTTTCCAAACCGAAATGCGAATTAGATACTTAAAAATATCCTACACACAATCTCTCATATTTATAAGTTTTAAAAAAATAATAATATAAAAAGTTAATAAAAATTAATGTTATCATCGTAAAGGGTGCTATACAGGATGTATTTGTTGTTGTAAGGTGCGTTACCTGTACCCTTGATAAGGTACGTACTATAATGCTTTAGCCTTCGTCGTCAACTATACCTACCCCCGTAGGAGTCTGACAGAAATGTGACCCAAAACGTATATCACTTCGTCAGAGACTGACGTAGTTTTATTTATGTTCAATCACACTGCACCATCCTTTGACCATTAACACTGCTTCCTCCGTAGGGGGTTCGATATCGTCGCACATCTGATTTATCTACTCAGCCAATGGTGAGAACAGGCGTGAGTTCTATGTGGTCCACTGTGGAGATAAGGGCACTAAGCGATGACAGCGCGTGTGATCGGAATTAGAAAGACGAAATTTTATTATTTATAACTTTTTTCCCATGCGCTTTTGTTAATACATATCATAAACTTATCCCGTATCAAATAATAAATATTTTAAAATTTGTGGCTGCTATTTTTATCTTTACTATCCTAGAATTATAAGCGTATAAAAGTGGCCATCCAGAATTATTAAGTTTCCTAGGTGGCTATCGAACTGTAGGTAGTGGGGAGGAGGATGTACGAGATGGCTTAATACGAAATTATACCAGCAGATGGCATTACTTTTTTTAAATCATAGCGCACCTGGTGGTATATAGGAGTATACGCGACTAATATATAATTAAAGCTCTTACAATGATCGGAACGTATGACATTCAGGTGGGGGTGGTGATGTCACATCGAGGGTGGGCCTCAAAAACCGGCAGGGGAAAATAAGACGGAAGTGGGAAAGAAGAAGAAAAAAAAATGCGCTTAGTCATTTTGTTCATTTAGATCTTTCTCCCTCCTTAATTATATCCCTGGTGATTTGGACGTCTACACTTCATCATCCCCTGCTACAAATCACCAGTGGGTTTCCCATTCGAAACTCACAAGATGAATTTGGGGAAAGGTCATCCCTTTACGGAGTCAAAAAGTCAGACTTTAATAGCTCAATTTAAAGAAGTACGTTTCGCAATAAATTTTCTATGATTTAATGCCTTTACAATGCTTGGTTGATAGCAATTACAAAGGGCATAATTCGCGTCTCGGGGTGGAGATCAATTACCACTAATTAGTTGGCCCGATACCGAGTTAAAGAAAATTTTACCAATTTCGAGCAGTAATTTGCAGAAATGTCACGATCGGTGGCTACGAGATAAACAAAAAAATATAATGGTAAAAAGAGGCAGACAATCGGTGGCGAGACTTACATTATAGGGTATCTTAACAGTGGCTAAATCGTTTTATCAGCACCATCTTAGCTTCCGAAATAAAAATTCACCATCACGGACACGGGTTAAGAATAGAGAGTTAAACATCTCTACAGTAAAAAGCAGACACTAAAATAAGGGTGTGTTAGGAGATGTACGGAAAGAGAGACCTACCTACCGTACCGTTCATTAATTTTAAACCCGAGACACTTTATTATCTTCAATGGAAAGAATAATACTGTAAGGTTAAGGTCGAACAGAAAGTGCAATTCCGTCCTCAGAAGAAATTGTGAGTACGGGGGCGGTAAGGATATTAAGTAACGGAGACTAGAAGGGGTTCCATTATCTCCGCCACTGTTATTAAAGAGCCAGGGATAAACTGATTTTCAGTATAGCTTAGAGAAATAGGTGCGGCCGGATGATTGATAAGGAGACGACACACAAGAACTGACCCTTGTGCGAATGCGTGCACGGGCCTCCCACTACAGTTCGAATTTATATTTTGACCCTTCATTAAAAAGGAGACACCCCAACTCTACCTTTTTCCACCGTATTTGTAACCACCCTGACGTCAGGATGGATTAGAGAAACTCGGATGATAGTTCTATTGTGGATTTTCTGAATAGACTTTTTTCATTGACTCGTATACATTGTTCGTTCCATCGACTTCGTGTCCAGCCATCTCCATTTCTGAATTCGAAAACTGCAAACAATTTGTAATACAAGTTTCATCTTGTTCTGTAGAAGTATTTGCAAATATATCTTAAAAATTCTTAGTTATTTCAAGAATTTCAATTAAAAATTGTGCTTTAATTAGCGTTTACAACAAGTACTCTTACAGTTGATGTATTTATAAGGAAATTTCTTAATATACGATTCAATTTAAATATTTTAAATTAAACAATTCTGATTTTTCCATTGCTGCAACAGCAAGTTTTCTTTGTGCTTTATTATCTGACCTATCTAATGAATAAATTGATATAGCAGATTGCCTGTTTCATAATGAATCCTTATATACTTAGTTTATATATATATAATGAATTCATGAACATGAAAAAGTTCATAAATTTTGATAGATTTCAAATTAAAACGTGGTTTGCATAAATATATCCAAGAATACTTTTTACATTCTCGTTTCAAGTGCTTTAAGTAATATCTAAATATTTATTCATGCCAAGTTTAATTATTATTATGCTAAATAAAGTCCATCATTGTGATAGACCCGTTAATAATATGGAATTATCGGCAAGAACATTTTCCCACATCAAAGGGGAAAATTTGTAGTTTCGTCCATAGACTAGAATTAATATTTGCTTCGGTACATAATACAAATAATCGAATGTCGTCACGATATATAAATAGTATTAAAAACGTGTTTGTAATTCGGTATCGTGAGATAAATGCAGAGATAGGGGGATAGCACGCGAAAAGTCATCAACACTTGCGTGTCGCGCACCAGCTTCGAGTTTTGTTTACGTAACAAAGCTTCTGGGGTTATAATCTTCCAGCTACTTTATTAATATTCAGTCGGTAGAGATTGCTGCAATTACACACCTCCGTCACTAACCCTCGCCTCTTATCATATATACACACATCTTACAATAGGAACGCGAAGCGGGCCATAATTATTAGACTATAAGTTCAATTGTTATTCAGTGCTTGGTCATATATACCTTCTCTCTGTCTTCTCGTGGTCGGCCTTTCTATTGTGTTCCCGACTTTGGTCCCTGTCATTACTGCACTCCCCGACACCACGATCCCGGAACGGTGTGGTACTGATGTGGTACCATCGCCCGCCTCCAAAAAGGTCAGAGGTCGAGATCGGCCGCTCCGTGGGAGTCTGCAACCAAACAGATGTTACTCGGTTCCGTTTAATCGATTACACCTTTAATAAACGTATAAAAATTAATTGTTAATTTAATTACAATTAAGTGGACGCTACGTAGATTAAGTAGAAAGTGTTATTTTGAAGTATGTATTAGAAAAATCTTAGAAATTCTAGAGGAAAAAGATTGCCGATTCTTTGATTAACATATGTTCAATAAATATGTCAAATTATTGGATCATCC